TTTTGGCTCGTGTGGCTAGATCGAACCAGCTCTGGGGGAGAATGAGTGGCCATCGCCCTAAGGACAACATCTCACAATCGGTTGTCTACCAAGAACTCAGCTCGGACCACTATCCGGTGGTGTCCGGAGTTGATTCCTCGGTGAACCGATTCGAAGCTTCCCAGTGCAACTACCATCGTGGCAATACTGCGTCGACACAACCATAGACTACGATGTCCAACCGGAGACGTCCGAAGACGTTGACCGGTGTCTGCAACCCATCTTGAAGGCAATATCCCGGGCCACTCTGAACTTTGACAGCTCTACTAAAGACAACGTTAGATCCCGTAACATTATTCGTAGGCAGTACTAGCGTACTGGTCTGCCTAAAATGAAGACCAATTGTAATCGAATAACACAGATAATGCAGGCCAGGATGGTGTATCTCGGAAATAACGATTTTGATAATAAGATTCGTGCTCTCTCAGATTGTGCAAAGGCCTTCTGAATCTTTAGAAAATAGGACCAGACCAAATCCACTGAACCGTACGACTCCTGTTGAGAAGGCTGCTGTGATTGGCCAACACTTCGTCAGCTCCCATAATCTCGGGCAAAACATGATTAGTCCAACCTCCATTTTATTCCCAACAACTTCCCCGAAGTTTCAGAGCTTTCAGTTGACAAACTGTTGACCTAAATCAAATCTTCCAAAAACATGAAGGCCCCAGGTTTCGATAACATCTTGAAACTAGAGCTCAAACATTTGAGTTCTAGTTTCTATCAGTGCCTTAGGCTTGGCGACTTCCCCTCGTGCTGGAAATTATCTAAAGTCATACCCATCCGGAAACCTGACAAGGATCCTTCCTCTTCTTCCAGCTACAGACCTATCAGCCTTCTCTCAGGGTTATTGAAGCTTCTTGAAAAAGCGATATACCGACGCCTTCTAACTAACTACCTAACTACTTAAACTAGGTTGCCAAATCACGAATGATCTGGTGGTTTGATCGTAGACAGGCGACTCTGAACCTTTCCAGCGTGGAAGTCTTTCGCTCCTCGAGTGTTTGAAGACCAGCCAGGTGGTGAATGTCAGAATTGCGAGTTCGCGGTGGACTGTTAAGGATCATTCTGAGGATCTTGTTTTGGATCCTCTGAAGCTTTAGGTGGTGGCACTTAGCACAACTCTCCCAGATTGGCATACCGTACTCAATAGCCAGTAGAATGATATGCTTATAGACAGCAAGCTTGTTTTTTAGGGACAGGGTGGAATTCCTGTTTATCAGAGGGTAGACCGGCCTGCTCAAGATGTTACACTTGGTGGATGTCTTGTCCACATGGGATCGGTATAGCAATTTGCTATCGAGTCTAAGGTAAACTAATTCACTCGACCATTCAAAAGGAGTGCTATCAACATGGACCTTGACGTTAGCAGGCGAAACAAGCCGAGGTGAATTCGAGTGTGCAATCAGTGTGCATTGATACAAATCTTCCAGCTCTTGAAATAGTCAGACAGAACATCCAGGCCTGATTGTAGTTTACTCGCCAGAGCACGGAGCACTCGACCCTTATAGGTATTCATCGGTGTCATCTGCGAACATTGACAGGATACCACCTCCCGGCAGGGGAGGAACGTCTGACGTGAAGATGTTGAATAGGATAGGCTACCCTGAGGGACCCTTCATCATTATTGAACGTATCAGAGGGGACATTGTTCAAGTAGACCTGGAATGATCTGCCCGTCAAGTAGATTTTGATGATCTTCACGAGGTAGATCGGAAAGTTGTATCGATGCAGCTTGTACACTAGACCATCATGCCAGACATTGTCGAACGCTTTCTCGACGTCTAACAATGCCATGGCAGATGTATTGGAAACGGACTTATTCCGCTTGATGATGTTAGTAACCCGTGCGGGTTGGTGGGTTGGTTAGAGTGGCCTTTCCTAAACCCGAATTGCTCTTTGAGCAAGATGTTATTGTCATTTGAAAACACCAGCAGACGGCTGAGTATCAACTTTTAGCAGTCACGCTTACCACTACACCACTGGCGCTGGCTTGTGAATTTGATTTAACGTGTAGGAAATCCTACCCCTCTTATCAACAATGCTAGCTGTCAAGTTTCGATAAGAATTATCTAAGAAGAAAACAAAGAAGAAGATACTTTTCGTGTACGAGGAAATAAATGAGCTCTCTTCTGTTGCTACTGTTGACCGGACTAGCTGTGTCATTTTATTAAAAAGAAAAATATTATAGAGAGATTTGCAGCTGGTGAGTTTTGTGGCCTTGATATTCCGTGCAGCGATATCACAGCACGGAATATCAACCGCTGTTGTTTGCTTGTTGATTTTTGTCTACGAAAATCAAGCGTGATCTTATTATTAGGTGAGATTTGATTTTTTGAAATTTTTCCAACACTGATTTAAATACCACACATTCGTGCAAGAGAAAGTTTATTGGTTTCTAATTGATTTTTGTTCTTTGTAGTCAATGAATAACCGCGACCAACCACAACCACAGCACTGGTGAGATTGTCCTGGTCATTTTCGATTTTTCTCCGTGGAAATATGGATTCGTTTTTCATTTTTTTTTATAGTCACTTTAACGCTCTTGGGTAATAATTTGTGACTTGTCCGGGGGTGAGATTTGAACTCGTGACTTTGGCGTGAGAGGTATGGATGCTTACAACTACGCCGGGTCGCCCCCTCGTTTTTCATTATCCTAACCCTAACCCTTTGTCTGTATCTTGGAGTCAATATGACCCCAGGCATTTTTAGCAATCTAGATTATTCATCAAAACGATTTTTTCTCTGACATTGTTCCACGATAAAGTCTTCTTGATACGCCGCCTCTTAGTTGAGACATACTTCGAATTTTATTTAATACTCGTTTTGAAGGATTTCCGCAATGAAGTTAGCTTTATTTTAGAGGTACAGACAAAGGGTTAAAGTCGTGACGTGGTGTATCCAAGGTAATTTAGTTTCGATTTATCTCGGTGGAAATATGGATTCGTTTTTCATACCCGTGACCATGCACAACCACAGCACTGCCCTTATTAGGTGTATCTTCTTGCAAAACCAAAAACTATCACTAGATCATATTCAAAGCGGCTTCCAAAACGAGACACATTGCACTATTTGGATTCATCTAACTCTTTTTAGCATTAGCATTAGCATTAGCATCGAACAAGTTGCACAATATCGTAGGTGGTACGAATTCAAAACTATTAAGAGCAAGACGGATATCTATTACTGGACAGATAGTAAGTAGGAAGTAATTACTATCTCCCAGATAAAGACATATCCCGCTCCAACAGTTAAGGATTGTCCTGGCCACGTCCTTACAACTGGTAGGGATAGGAAAGGTATGTTAGTCCAACATTTACTTAAGAGAGATGCAGAGAACTCTACGACCCCTCATAAATGTCTCGGGAATTTAGGAATTATGTTAGTAGGGAAGGTAAGCCATAGGATACACCCAGTCAGTGTTGCTGGCATATGTAGTTTTTTTTATTAATGTTGAAATTGCTGTCCGGATCATCTGCTGAAAGATAAGGTTGCTGAAATAAAATGAAAATATAACATAGTGAACTCGCCATCGTTGTCACACCCGTAGCTAATTGAAAGGAAGGAAATATGTTGTGTTTTATCTTTTTTTTTCTTCTATTGATTGAGAGGAAAACTCGCGGGAGTGAAAATAATTGTACTACCTCTTCTCCCGTAGGCCCAAAACCTCTATGTCTTTTCAATTTGAATTATAATCAATTAAAGTAAACTTAAGTTCATGTGATGTGTATGTGTGTGTGTATGTGTATTCAATCTAACCCCCACTGGCCGGCAGTGGTATTATGGAAGAAATTTGCTTACAACAATCCTTGATGTAATAATTTAAAGCAAGTTTAGTCCGGGAGTTAGAAAGCGATAGCTCTACTGCAGATCCAGCAACCCATTTCAGAATGCCTGGTAATTCACGTCCATTCCGAGGTTACTTTCACATACAATAAGCCCCGCGTGTAAACACTACCGTTATCATATGAATAATGGTACTGCAAACACACTTCCAGATTTCGAAATGTGATGTTTCGAAATCTGGCGCGTATTTAGTAATATATGGAAATATGCATTTATGATTGATTATAAATCAGATGGATCTCACCAAATTCTGCCTCCGAAAAAGGACCGGTTTGTTCACTCGCGGTAATCGAAAAAATCTTCCGCGTGGTTTTTACAACCCAACACGACATTTTGAATCACATTTGAAGTTTTCCATTTGCACCGAATTTTTGCTTGACACCTCATTCGCGTGCATCTTCCGGAAGGCAGAACGCCAGCACCAAGAAAAAAAAAAATACCCAGTGAAACTCTTCTTGGGAGGGAGGCAAAGCACAAAAAACAAGCGAAATGAAAAACCGACCGACGCGACACACAGCTATTCGAAACAAATTCTTGTTCCAGATTGTTCACGTTAATTACAATATCACTAAAAAAAAACTTCTTAAGACGTGATAGATCTTAATTTACACTTATCCACACGAAAAAACTAATATTTGTTTGATTTGATACAATTAAAAAAAATGCGAAAAACAGATGAAATCAGCGCCAGCGAAAACAAAACCAACCGTTCGCGGGCAGAGCCTACTGCGTTTTTTCGCAATTCGGATTCATCTAACTCTTTTTAGGAGCATTTATTTATTTTGTTTCGAACCAATGCACCTAACAATACCTATTATAATTGTTCAACCTACTACTGAATATAAAACAAAACCTGAGATTTTTTTCTAGTAGGCACTTCTGTATATACGATCATAACACAACCGGCAACTCGATCACATTTCAAATAATAGCGTCGTTTACTAATTACTAATTGCGGTTAAAGTTCACGTGTAAATGCAAACCCCTTAGAACCACCACAGACTTACTTCCAGCATAAGCGACGAGCGAACGATGCAACGGAGTGGAGATGCAATTTTCCTTTGTGAACTAGGTGGGTCGCCGTACTGAACAGGTACAGAAAAGTACGTCAATGGAGATATAATAAATTTTAATTTTTATTACTATTCATCGGTGCAGGTAATTATTAGCGGTGATGAGTGTTGTGCTCAGCGTGACCAGCCAGGTGACGATCGCAGCAGGCTGTGGTAATTTCCCAGCGTCACTAATAGCGACATCGTTGCACAGGTCCTCGTGATCACAGGCGACACACTCCCGGGTTCCACGAAAACTGGCGTACCGGATGTCACAGAAACCGGTCGAATTCATCGAATACACGCAGCCCCGAACAAACAGGAATGTCATATCCGTGAGCGAAGTGGCCCGCACGTGTACACACTGGAACGCGTCTTCCGAAATTTTCGGGCCATAGACCAAGGTTGGCATGAAGCTTGCCAGCGATTCGTTGGTCCGTCGAACGATGTCATCCGTGCAGTTTATCGGCTCGATCTCCTCTCCGGTTGCGTTGCAATGGTTGATCCCAACGCAAAAGTGACATTTCAACGCGACACCTACAGCGAACAAGGGTATTAAATGTCACTAAACTGGTCAACTGGTCTGCACCATCGTGGTCGAACCACAACAAAAGACTGTAACGTCCAGAAACTTGCCTCGATCGATCAGAGTGGTCGCGAACAGAACTAGCACCGCGGTCGCTATGGCAACTTCGCTGAACGGCCTCCGTGACGTCATTGTTGTTGCCGTTCGTGTATTCTTATTTTATTATCACGCAGGCAAAAGTGTAAAGGAATCGTAAAAGCGCAAACTGCAATTTTTTTTTACGATGCAACACGTTGAACGATCACCGACTTACTGACATGACACATAGCATCGACCGGTCCGAAGCTGTTGTTGATCTTTCTCGATGTCTCATATGAGTAGGTTGCTTGGCGCTGCACATCTGTACATAGCAACCGGCTGTGTGAGCAAGTGTTGTATACCTACCTTAAGACCCTTTCCTTCCTTATCGGATTGATTTGGAGTGATGAATGGTTTATGGGGTTGCAGAACTTTATGCTTGAAGGTGGTTTAACAATAGAGGAGGATCAGAATAATCACGAAATAACTTGATGCACAGCCTTTGGAATCGAAGACTCACGCAGTTGGCAGTTGTGCACCAAAGACTTACTAAAACTTTTGTTTGTCGTAAAATATATGTAGGGTAAATGATGGCTTCGGCACACATTGACTGTTTTCGGGCTGCCGACAATAATCACACTCATCTGACGCTTCAAGCTGTAAAGACGTTTTCAAACTGTTTTGGACAATTTTGTCGATTTGAATGGATAGAGAAGATAAATGTAAACAAACAAATAGGTCATATGTATGCGTGATGCTCTGAGAAATTGCCAATAGAAGCGCGGATGCTGCTTAGATTGACGAGAATACGTAAATTCCCCTATATGTAAAAGATATCATGAATCAACCACAAAGTACCCTTCATTGTCTTTTGCTGAGATCCTCGCAAAAATTGACCATTGAAGCCACGAAGATCTCCTTATCAGATTGCTTCCCATCGAAGCAAACCATTGATGATGTCATTACCCACTCCACGCCTACTGATGGAAACATCTTTGAAATATCCCATGTGTATTTATTGACCGGCCGAGATGATGGCAATCCATCAAAACCTGCTACCATTCGGTAATCAGCAGATGTTCCTCCCATTCCATTTCGACACTCATCGCATCGTATAGGATCTGTTCTCACGTGACCTCTCATAGGCCAGAGCCGAAGCCGTATAGGGTAAAGTCAGTCAGACATTAGGGCGATAGGTAATTTAGCCATTGGCAGACGCCATTTGTCAGCTGCTTCGAGTCTAATCAAGTTTTTCGCTCAACTCAAGAAGATGATTCTCCTCCGACAGTTGGTGGTACAATTCAATTGAATTAAAGTTCCTGTATCCACTGCTTGCAAACAAAGAAGAAAACAAACATCAGAATGCCATATTCCTCTCACATCCGCAGCCAATTTTTCTTCCTTCCGGAGGGCCATTTATCAGCCCGGATGGATGGATGGATGGGATGTGTGTCGCTTTCGTTCGCGTTTAATAAAACATATCCATTTCGATCTGCTACCATCCTTCGACTTTGAGCTTGTCATTTCTCATATTTTATTTGCCTCCCCAGCACTGTGACCTGTGTCTCTTCCATCCAAGTATGTCAAGAAGGGCTGAACAACACGGGCAAATCGAAGGAATCATGGGAGCAATGCTTGTAAAATCTTTATTCTCATCCTGAATTGGCAATAAAGGTGCATTTTCGGCAAACAGAAGTGACATAACCTCTCGGTAACAACGGTGGAAATTCCGTTTTTCCCCTCCGCCCGCATCGTTCCGATTCGTGCCGTTTCACCCTGTCAATGTTTGCACAATGATTGAGTTCTATAGGATGACTACGAACGACGACGGATGGACGGATGGGGGGTGGGGAAGACGAGGGATGTGAAAGTGTTCCTCGCGTGTTGGCAGCGGTTCGGAGGGTGAAGCATTTCAGGTATGCTGGAATTGATTTTGGCGATACATAAATCATGATTTTCGACTGTGGATGGCAGTTGAAGAAGCGGATGTATATTTATGAGTATGGATTGCGAGTGGTTGTCTTCTGATATGTAATGTTCTCGGAGGAGGTACTTTCTCGAACTGGAATTGAGGGGTGTGGAGGAATGCCAAAGTGACAGGATTTATGAAATATTTATTCTCAGGGGTATTGTTCACGTTTTCAAGTTTGATAACTTCACTCGAACGGGAATGAATCAGTATTCTCACTAACCTTAAGAGTGCAATTTAGGTCATAGCAAGCCCTTGCACACGCGACAATGCAAGCCCTTGAGTTGCGGGCAAGGCCTCCACCGAGTCGAGCTTAACGCACAATAATAAATGTATGCTAATCGTTCGAGTGCGCGCTCCGCATCGTAGTAGGCTGCTTGACTGCTATAAATATGGCGATAATGTCAGTTCGCACATGCGGGAATACCCGCCACAGGTTGCATGGTTTGACATACTACACAAACTGTATCAAAACAGTGAAAGGGAAGCTTACTTCAACAACAGCCGTATGATTAGTCTACTCCATTGCCCTCTCCTTTTCGGACTATGGCACTCAATTTGCCGGCCGCCAGTTCTTCCTTATCGGCTCCTTATATTTACTTAAGATGCAACATTTCTCCGGAAACTGTGGCAAATCAATTTAACGAAACGGGTGCAACGCAGCCACAGTAGGTATGCATTGCTAATATTGACATGCTATTAACTCGAACGGGTACACCCCTTTGAGGTACAAGGGGCTTACCGTAGCAAGCGGCACAATTTTCAACAACTGAATGAGATAATTGATCTTGGTTAGGACAATTTACGATTGCTTCATCCAAGTGCGCAAACGGTCAGCTCATTTACAACAAGTCACAAAGTGACAGAATGGGATTAGTAAACACCTCCCATTCCTACCCACCTGCTTCTATGGGACAGACGGTTCGAGACATAAAGAGCTGTCGATTATCCAATTAGCCTCGTGAGTCGTGAGCTGGGTGATGCAAAGACGGACTAATTTCGTGCTGTCAATTTTTTACCCTCCTGGCATGAAGAAACAAGTATTACAGTCCATCAACATGAGAAGTATTCAAGTTCACCCCGAATCATTCTATAGCCATATTATTTTTCCAAAGCATCTAAATCATTTCTCTCTTTGTAAACAAACAATTGGGCTTTACGGAAAATATAGTTGACAGAATTTTCTGCCAATTGTTTCAGCGCAGTCAAGATTGAAAAAAATCACTTCGCATCACCCAGGTCGTGTGCACTTGCATTTTACCACCGAGAAAAACGCAATCGACCGAAACGATCGCTCTCGAGTTGCAGTGACGAGCTACACATTTTTTTCCCTCAGTGCCAGGTGTAAGCAAAGTAGCCTTGGATTACCAGCTTCATTCATGAAATTCACGTGACAACATGCGTTGATGGACGACACGAGTCAACGAACGAACGAACGAACTAACGAACGATCGAAGCAACGCGTTTGCAAATTAACACTCTTGCATTTTTGAATGGAACGGACGGAGGGTGAAGTGGGGTTTTATAGGAAATGTATACCTACGGCACCGTGCGTAATCTACACACTAACGTTAGGCCGCTGTACTGCACTGTCAAGGCAGAGGCCTACTTGAAATGCGGAGAAAAATGCTACAATTATCTATCGGTCAATCGTAGCAGTCTGGGCATTCGATGCACATTGACTATGATGACAAATCCCCGTGTGAATCAGGAATCGATTCTAGTAATCTGCATTTGACTTTGTATCCATTGACGCATTTATATATCTCAACCACTTAGTCATTTTGATCGTGGTAGTCTAGTTTGCTTCAATATTTCAGTTCAGTTAGTACGCTTTATTGTTCTTATAATTCTGTCAATAGCGGATGGATTTTAATTCTAAACTATCCAATGTCTTGGAAATTTTTCTACAAATCTGCTTAAATAAACACTTTATCAATTTTCTATAGGTCTATAACAATTACACAACGGTGCCGGTGGTGTAGTGGTAAGCGTGATTACCTTTCACCCCAGCAGGCCTGGGTTCAATCCCAGTCGGCGCCGCCGGGATGTTCTGAGGCATAACATCTCTGATCACGCCTTCCTTCGGATGGGTAGTAAAGCCGTTGGTCCCCGGTTCATGAGTTGATGGGTCGATAGGTAGGGTTCAGGTGTGGAAGCTGCCTTCCTGGCACGTCGGTAGCATTGGTGCTCAGCACGGAAAACAAGATCGACGGAAAAAACAAACCAAAGGAAAAAAAAAAAAAAAAAAACAATTACACAAATGTCCAACTGTTGTAATGGTGATCAAAATAATCACCGATGTCCAGCAAAAAGCGCTTTCCCTAACACAGTCATCGAATATTGATACCGAGCACGTAATCCTACGTCAAATCTACGGTCGTGTCTTGGATACAACCTCTTATTTTTTTCTCAGAAAATGATATAAAATGTCTCAAACATTTGTTTTCTGAGTATGAATTACATGAAAAAGTAGAAGGGTCTGTGCCTAGGGGAACAAACGGAAGCTTGACGTAGGACCGCTAGTGGACGGAATAAATGTGAAGAGCATTAAGTTCTTTTAATTGATCAAATCAGGCATAACATTTGATAACGGCACAAAAGCATTTTTTTTTTTTTATTTTGTTAATTACTTTATTTGTACAGGCTCATTCGAATAAACTTTACAGAGCCAAGTTATCATTTTCTTTATACATTATAAATGTCTTAAATCTAAAATTAAAGGATTGGAACCGATTACTCGCGGTCTTCTCGAGGTTAGTGGATGACAATTGTTTGGATCGGGAGAGGGAAAAGGAGATTTGGAATATGATTTATGATTCAAAAATTTCACTATTTCTAAAACAAATACTTAATCCTATCGACGTTATATCAACTCTGTAATTATACAATTATTACAGAAACAAATCTACAAAAAAAAAAAAATACACACACACATACAAAACACAAACTAAACACAAGGTTAATCAAACTTACAATCTATGGTTAATATTCTTCAAGAAAACATATATGAGTTGCATAAACTCCAGATCGCGTCTAGCCAAAATATCCCGAACTGGAACATTAGGTTGTCTACCTCGAGCCCGAAGGGAATCGTACAACTCGGATCTGACTCCACGGTGCTCAGCACATGACCAAATAATGTGATCTGCGTCCTGGTAACCTTGTCCACATTCACAGAGATTACTGTCCCCCAGCCCAACACGGAACAAGTGAGCGCTTAGTGAATAGTGATTGG